GTAACTTGAAATGACCTCATTTTCATACAATTTCATTTCATTTCTTATTTCATATCTCATTTCGTACAAGCCTGGCCCGTGATTTATCAATCTCAGCTTAGCAAAATGTCTTAAGTCGAAAAAGTTTGGATGTCCCTAAGCAAATATCTTGAGCTGATTTATCAAACCATCTTAGCAGAATCTTAGTTTAAAAATCCTCTTAGATGTTTCATGCATAAAATCAACTCAAAGTTTAAGCAAGTTTTAAGTTAAATCAATATTGATAAATTTCACTTAAGTAAAAAATGGACTTAAGATGAATTTAAGCTGATTTCTAGTTTGATAAATCCGGCCTCAGATGAGTATTTTCAACTGAAAAACTTAGATGAAACTGCTGTTTAATTAATATGTAGTTCAGCCATGGAGGAATGGTTCAGCCAAGCTAAGCCAAGCCAAGCATGTTGACACTGCGATAGTATTGGAATCCGTGGGAATAAACAAGTTGTAGCTGACTACCTGTAGTGCGCCCTCTCCTACAAGAAATTATTTTGTAAACAACGAGATAAGTGACGAATCATCACTATGGATCTTCCGCTAAACCCCGCCCCTTGGATATTGTTGCTAAGGTCCCACATAATCATAGTGTATATGTACGTAAAATTGAACACGTGCGTTTGTGGGATAACACGTGTGTTTGTAGGACACGCACGTATCCATGGCTTTGATCTAATTGGTCAGTTGTTAAGTTTGATTGACATTCCGGAAAGGTCAATTATTATTATTTTAAGTGTTTATTTTATTTTTTGATTGACATTTTTCAGGATTACACATTTTCAAAGGTAAAACCTTTCATTATGAATTATAACGAGCACTTCCTGGTGTATACTTGAATTCCACACCATTCACATACCATCTTAAAATCAGGGCGGCATGGAATTTACTTTGTACGGCACGACATTTGTTATTTTATTTTTTAAAAGGTTCTGTGGCTACAATCCTTCAAATAAATTATGTGCAGGATTTTTATCTCTGTATATTATTCCGAGAATTAATTCTGTGTATTTTGTGTGGATAACTTAATAATGCGATAATAAGAATAACGAAAAGTTCACGTGGAATTTATTTTGACTACACAGAAATTATTCTCAATATTTTTCACTCTGTAAAATACAAGAATTCTGGTCTTCATAATTGTTTATGTCCGCACTTAGGCCTATATAATTCTGGCCACTCGAAATGTGTTCTGTTCGTCTGCTTGAGCAGTACGCCCTCAAGTGTTGGTACAGAAAGTTTCAATATGCAAATTAGAAGGCGGATATTTCAGCCATAGAATTATACTGAAAATAAGTAGTATTTTAGGGCATCTAACTTATTCCAAGTTCTACATCTTATTTAACAGGCAAGTGATGCATTACCATTTCCAACATTAACATCAAAAAAGTACTTTAGCCTGCTAATTAAAACAGACGTAGGCAGGGCTTAAGCTAATGGAAAAGGAAATGGCAATGAAATCCTGGAAATTGATGGGCTGGCCAGGGAGATTATACTGTGTAATTAAAATTTAACTATCTACACTAGAAGAGGCTAGATTATTATAGGTAAGCTAACTTAAATCAATAAATCAATCAATTAACCAATCATTCTTTTATCTCTTATTTAAGTATAATAGAAATAATAAATATAGGCCTATTGTTAAATATAAATGGGCAAAATTAACACAACAAAGCGTGTATAAAGATGCCAGAATGGAGAAATATGCAACGAAATTAAATACTTAAAATGTTGAAAACTAATAATTTGAAAATTAAAAACGTGACACTTTTCATTGAATAATGAAAATTATAATAGAAATAGTTATTTCATACATGAATTTATTATTTTTAGCAAGCTAACGTGGTTATGTCTAGTTAAACTGGTTTTATTATTATATTAATAACACAAATTAATAAAAGCGATTTAAGCTAAACTCACTCTTTCGCAATTCCTCTTCTCAAGAGCAAGGACAGGAGTAATGCCGCTTCAGTTCGTCATTCTTAAGTGATTAATATTTCTTTTCAACATGCTTCTTTTAATTAAAGTAATGTCCCTACCACAAATCCAAGCAAGAGCAGAATCACTGCACTTCCGTCGTACTATTTATATCAATTCTCTAATGTCATAAAGAGAAATGTATCAATTTATTTAATTCTAAGTTGTATTTTTTAGAAAGCAACACAAAATTATAGTATATAGGCATACATTTTTTTTAATAACCTTTGATAGTCTAGGCAGGGCTTTAGTTATATTTTTGAGAACAATTACAAAATGTGACCCAAGCTCACAAACGGGCTGTAAACTCGTCCTCAGGCCAAAATGAGTTTTTGTTATAATGGCATAGAACATATCATTTACTTTAAAATGACAGTTAAATGAACTCAATCGGGTGTCTGGAAGCAAAGTTATGACCGTTTGAATAATTGTCATCTTATCAACTTTCTTAAATCAAGTTTTGAGAAAAATGCTTTTATTTTCGGCAGGTTTCTATTTATTTTTTATTAGCTCCCATCCGAAAATGGCTAAATTTTACCTCTTACAGTTGTAATTTTAAACTCAAACTTCAGGAATAGTAACATTAATAGTTATACTTACAGAAAAACCCAATTCACACAAAATTCACATTCTACGCCCTATTCTGGGTATTGAGGCTTGTTTCTCAATACAGTGCAGTGCGAGTTTAAAGCCCGTTTGTGAGCTTGGGTCACAAATGACTTTTCAATTAAATTGTGGAAGACAATAATATACGTTTCAATACCATTTTAAATTAATTTAAAAAAATAATATTATCAAAAATCTGGAACAATCTGGCAAGTAGCAATCAAAATTCTCTCACTCTCTGAGTGCACTCAAATAACACATCACGCAAGTACAAAGGATGGGGTTACGGGTAACATTTTGTTTTTCGGTGATTTGTTTTCTGTTCCTCTCTGTGAATATTACATGTATGAATAGATGGATCTCTCTCAGCATCATGTCAACTGTAATTAATGATAGCAAAGTGTTCTAATAACAACCAGCAGTGTAACAAGTAGGCCTAACAAGTAAGTAAGTCGTGCGCGAGAGAACTCCATTAATGTCCCAAAACGTCAATTTATTCGATAAGAAAAACCGAATATGATTTATTTGTAAATGTAAGAGATAAAACATCAAGAACGTAAAAACTTTTATGGACGTATTTATGACCGAATCACTGACAACGATTTTTATTGGAGTAATGTACTGCTAACTAACACTAATTCCTAGGATCAGACGATATACTGATTGACTTGATACACGTGAGGGCGGAACTCACATCAATTAATTTTGCGTTGAATTATCAGCCGCTACGTGCGGAAGAATGCAGTACACTTGGTCGAACCTTCGTGATCGAACCCATCAAGAGTGATATAGGCTTATACTATGTTAGGGAGCTTTCCAAATATTCTAGTGAACAAATCCGTGCTTTATATAGGTTATATTGCAATTAGGCCGGTATACATCGAACACTTACACGATGGTTAACTGCAATGTGATGTCCTAAACATCAAGTTATTGGATTACAATATATAAAGCTGATCAGTTTGAAATTATGAGTATCCTGACCACAAAGACATAACAGGTATATGCATTTGATTCTTTAGTAAGAGCGCAAGAATGTCGACGATCTCGTACAACTCAACTATAGTAACTGTTTCCCCGGAAAATCAGCTAACATTGGGTCAAGATGCCACTGAAGAATTTACACTGTCTACCTGGAAACTTGTCGGAGGATGTATATTGTGCGTCATCACCTTGATTACGATTGTTGGAAATGTTTTAGCTGTTGTCGTACTTACGAGACAGAAGCGATTCCGATCACGTCCGACGTACGCGTTTATAACTTCAATGGCGATCGCCGATACCCTAGTCGGAGTGATCGTGATGCCGTTGAGTATAACAAACTTACTGGGTGGTAAGTGGTATTTTGGTACAATAGCCTGCAAACTGTTTGTGTCGAGCGACGTATGCTTATGCACCGCCTCGTGTCTGAATTTGGTCGCGGTTACCTCGGACCGATATATCGCAGTTCTTTACCCATTCTCTTACCGTAGCAAATTAAGCAAAACACGCACGAAATTGATTATTTTTTCCGTTTGGTTAGCTTCCGTTTTGATATCATTCCCGCCTATTCACTTGGGTTGGAATAAGGTTAAAGGGAGTGAGGAACTAGACCCACACGAATGTTTTTTAGAGGCTGGTATTGTTTACACTATGACAGATGGACTCGTGTTTTTCTTCCTCCCATTGATCATAATGTGCGGGATGTACGTGAAGATTGCACGTGTAGTAAGAAAAAGTTCTAAAACGTGGAAAGGGAGCAGAGTATCGAACCCAGAAAACCGACTTGGTCTGACGGTTGCGATGGTTATGACGTGCTTTGTTGTTTGCTGGTTGCCGTTCATGTCTTACTTCACGTTTTCTGGTTTGACTGACTGGGAACCAAGTGAGCCATGGTATTCTATGCTATTTTGGCTGACGTATTTTAACAGTACGCTAAATCCCATTATATATTGTGGAACAAACACACATTTCAGAGAAGCGTTTTTAGATACAATATCCAGGCGGTCCAGAGCTGAAAATCAAAGGAATTCAACAATTTTTAGAACACCAGCATCAATCAAAGTTCAATCGGGGCCAGAAACGGAATGTGAAGTTTACACGAAAGGAAGTCAACATGTCAATAACGCAACCATTATTAGAAACAACAGATGTGTATGAAACAGAGTTAAAACACTGGTATATTTGCATTATGAGTATGCTAACTCATAATGTATTGATTAACAATTATATCAGCCACGTTTGACCTTTAACACATAGTTGCTTTGTGACACCTTTGGAAACAAATAATTGTTAATACCAACGGTCTGAAACAACATATTTTGTTTAAGTTTTTGTTTGTTTTGTTTTTTTGTTTGTTTTTTTTAAATATCATTGTATTTTGTTGACATACCAAAGATGAAGTTGAGTTATATTTCACAAAACCATCGATGATACTTCGTAACCGTTTGAAAAATTTGTAATCTGCACAAAATGATGAAAGAAAATCATTATTATCAACCAGCAAGACGGAACAACTTGAGTCGACGTCAAAACGATACTATCAAATATTAATACACTCTATTATTAAACAAGCTTAATAAGGTTGATTGGGCGTGCTAATGTACTGTATAATGAAATTAAACTTGTTTATTATACTGAGAACTCGCGAGCCTATTAATATGATATTTTGAAATTATAGAATAGAATGTCGCATGGTAATTAGCTTTGGCATGGAGAAACAGGATACAAGATACAGGACAATTTTATGTTTTTGAAAATATAAAGGAATTTTGAAATACACGGGTATTTTATTAAATATTTTAAAACTACATCTATAGTACAAAAACAATTACATGATGATAAAAAAAAATTGGCATACAGGTTAAAACAATTATTAAAGAAAGCGTTTAAAGTAGATATTAATTAGTAATATCTAAACCATATGATATCGAATGTGTGTAGTAGAAGTAGTAATTGTGTATTGTAGAAGTAGTACTGTAGTATAGTAGTAGCAGTAGAAGGAGTAGGGGGAGTAGGAGGAGGAGTAGTAGCAGTACAGTAGGCCTAGTGGTGGTGGTGGACGTATTATGGTAGTACCACGGTATTCGTTCGTTCCTATACAATCTTTTATCAAATTAATATAATATATTCTTTGGTTCAAATGTATTTAATAATCAATTAATAAATCGCCACTGATCATACTTTAGACCCCACTTCCCGTGTACTGCTTTTACATATATTAATAGCATTACCGCAACACGGTTTAGAGTTTATTTTATGTGGTTCTATTCTTTCTATTTGTATGCCCTTCTTCTGCTGCTAGATCCTGGCTTCCTGGGCACGGTTGTGTGTCCTTCTTGTTTTGCTCTAAACCTGTCTCTTATACACATCTAGATGTTTATAAGAGACAGATACATACAGTGTGAAAGATAAATTGTTTTTAATCAGATTCGATCTTCATAACAAAGTATAGTAGTGCAGTTGTTTCGTGACATTAGTATCAAGAAATCTTGTGTTCAAAATCCCGATTGGGATTTAAGTTCAGAATTTAAGCCTAAAAGTAATCATAGCCTTACTGCAAGACAGTTGAGAATCTCTTTAAGTGTTACATCATGTTTACTTTATAAAAAGCATATTTTCGGAGATCCTGTGTTGTCTCTAAAATGCTTAAGATGAGGGGGTATCATATTCATTGATCTCTGCTATTTGCAGTATCTGAAGAACTGGTGATGTTCGTCTACGCGTGTGCAAAGGAGTGTAATGTGTCAGCAGCTTCCAATCGGATTTGAATTCCCAACGAAACTCTAGTTGCCCAATTGGGTTGGCGATAGACAGCAGAATGTTTCGGGTTTGAATCATGGTTGTGGCAACTATTTTAACACACTAGCAGATTCTTCTTCTTCAACATTTAAAATTTGAGAGTGCACTTATACAGCATGTGACGGGTCGCTGGTGATGGGACGTTTAACCGACTAACGTTTGACATATTGGATTTCTATAACTCGGTAATTTTGCCGCCACGTTATTCCCTCCACAAGGCATTTTGCCTGGGATAACTTCCTGGCAGGCATTTGCCGACGCTTGTTGTTCATTTTTAAAATATTGCGACAAGGTATTGCGCCTACAGACGGTTTTCAGATCGGCTAAAATTGAACTTGATTGATAAACTTCTTTTTACCAAAAGGTAAAGTCTATGTAAAACAGAATTGTTGAAAGCAATGACATTTTAAAGCACGATATATTTTTGTCGATTTTGAGATAATTCAATCATGCTCATTTTGTTTGCCGGTACTGATGTTGTAAATACATGATCTCCCAATTAAGATCATATAGACTAAACTGTTTTACGGAGCATACTGTCAAATTTAATTCCATTGAAAGCCATCTGAGTCTAGGCCTACTAGAAAATATTAATGTTTTAAAAAATAAACATTACTAGAAACTATTTTCAATAGAACATTTACCCAGTCAGATCAGATCTTGGTAAATTTCAGCTCAATTCAATAATTTTGACATTTGAACTTTGAAATTTGGTGAGCGTGCTCCTTTATCCATTGGCTTTACCTTATGTGACCTTTGATACCAAGCTGTGAACACGCAGTGTATGGTAAGTGTCACTAGTTCACAGACCAAGTTTGATTGAAAACGGTCCAATAGTTTGCCGCTAATAATAGAGTTTTAAAATATTGCCATAAAAAATTATCCTTATTGCCATTTTGGCCATAAAAGGAACACCAATTGATGCAAATGTAATAAGGACTAAACTGTGGTATGTTATATGTGACAGAGGTAGACTATAATTATTTTTTCGAATTTAACCTTAATGACTCCTATATGACACAGTATAATTTATTTTTGGGACTTTGACCCCAAGCTGTAATACAGCATGTGAAGTTGTCACTGGTTCTACTGACCAAGTTTGATTGAAATTGGCCCAATCGATTGCCACAAGTAGCATTCAACAATTTTGACAGAAAAACATAAGAATAACCCCTTAATGACCTTTGACCCCAAATCAATGAACACCTTCACGCTTTCACCTACAAGTGTCATACACATTTTCCAATTTGTTTTAGTGACAGAAACATAATTAAATATCATTGTTTCTATAAAAGTAAAAAAATAATGCTTGATAGCAAATGAAAGATAAAATAATTTTTTTCCTAAATATGCTACTATTTAGTCTTGTGAAATCATAAAAAAAAATTAAAAATTAATTATTTTAATAACTAATGTTTATATGAACAATTTTGAAAAAAAATACCTATTCAAAAGCCAGAATAAAAAAAATCATCTCCACATAAGCACAAAATAAAACTAAATTTGAGTTTATTGATCAAGAACTTTTTGGAAGAAAAAAAAATTAAAATATTTCATCCCAAGTGGGGTGCTAGCCAATTCCCCTAGGCCTAAGAGCCGCTTCAGTCACTTTATCCGCACTGCGGAGCCTAGCATGATAAGCCTAACTTGCCTCGCGACGTAAAATCCATAAATCATTACATCCGCACCTCCTAATATCTTTCAAAAATCCAGTTGGTGTCAAAAAAATCATGAAATACTACGACAATATAGGACTATGAGTCATCATTTTTTTCCTTTTGCTGTCACCGATCTCAACATGCGGATTGCGAAGAAAACAGGAAGTTCAGGAGTTCAACGGTCATGTCGGGGTTTGTTTTCATTTTTTTTTGTAAACAACCAAGATAGCGTAGGCAGACACCTTGTTTTTTTTTTCAGCCACAAAAAAATTTTACGTAGAAATATGTGGATATAATAATTAAAACTTTAAGTAAAATGTGTATAATATGTTCTTATTGTTTTTATCATTTTCTGTTTTAACTCGTTTTTTATCTATCTGAGAGCACTACCTTTTACAATATTTAAAAAAATATTCCAATAGTAAATTACCAATGCATGCACATTGTGGTTCTATTCTTTCTATTTGTATGCCCTTCTTCTGCTGCTAGATCCTGGCTTCCTGGGCACGGTTGTGTGTCCTTCTTGTTTTGCTCTAAACAGTGGCGTACGTTGCCAGAGGTGTAATCACGGTGAGCACACCACCCCCTCCACTTTTTTGTTCAAACGTAAACAAATATATAGGCCTAGTTTTCTTTTTGGTAGCTCTTAGGTCATTATTTCATATTGTATACCTTTGTGTATTTGTATTGCTGTACCAACAAATGTTAGTTCCACTGTTCCAAAAGCATAATCCAAATTCAAATAAAAGGTTAAAAGATTTCATTTGTATCTGTAGCAGTTTCACGATGGGTCATTTAAATAATCATAGTATTTAATGTTCATTTAATTGCTCTTTGAATTTACTTTCCTTATACAAAACTAATTAATTTGGTTTCCATCTCGCCCTTATATTGAAAGTATAATGTTCATCGTAGCATATCTCTTCAGTTTCCTAGCTGCGACCAACAAGCTAAACATGGCTCCTTTATGTGTGAGCGCAAAAGTTACTTGTACGAAAGGAAGTGTCTGCATGTTGTGTCTGCATGTTAGACCTGCACCGATACCGCATAGGGTTTTTGCCATCTAACGGTGTGACACTTGCATTGTTAGCTAGAGTCGACAGTCTCAAATCCCTTCAAACACGCTTTTTTTTAATAAAATGTTTCTATTTGAGCACTGTTATTATTATTCATATTTTTCGTTAGTGAAGTACTAGGCAGCAAACCTAATATGAATATTAATTGATTTGCATATTGAATTTGCAAATTCCTATCTGGATTATTATAATTTCGTAGCTTTAGCTCGCATTTTCAGCATCATCAGTCGATCAGATAAACCAATAAAAGAATTCTGAAGGTGAGGTCGTAGCCTGAAATAATACACACTGATGACGGAGATGCAATTTCAAGTATCAAACAGTCAATATCTGATATCAATGCTAAACCATACAAAGGCGGATCCAGGATGGGTTCAGGGGGTTCGGACGAGCCCCCCCTCTGTAAATAAATGTAACAAAATACTACTGGGTCCTGGCATACAAGAGGCATGCTGAAACATCAGGGACGAATCCAGAAATTTTCTGACCGGGGTGGTGGGGGTGGCAATAGGTATTCCACACCCACCTCAGCCCCACCATGGTTGGGGCTGATGACGTAAGCAAATTTTAAGAATAGGACCCTCTACACGCTCGAAAATGGCACTCTCAGATTTTTAAAATATGCTATTTCAAAGCAGTGTCCCTCTACAAAAAAATTATTGACTTCCTCTCCATGGGAGCTATGCTCCCCCTCTTCCTCTCCGCTCACGGGCATCGCAAAGGTCTAATCAAGGACCTACTGTATACCTACTGTCTATTCTATACTGGGAGTCGCAAAGCAAATTAAGATTTTGGTACCTCTAGATGCCCGGAAATGGCACTCATTCAGACTTAAAATTTGAATACTTTATCTCCATTTAAAAAAAATGTTTACAAATGCAGGGGTCCTGGCCGGCTGACAACCCACCTCGCTGGATTAATATGCTATATGTCCTACAGTCGATGTCAGTGACACATTACGCTCTTTTGTATCAGCAAAGCCCTTTTAGATCAGGGTGCTATAGAGCGAGGACCCTACTGGACAATATGGGTAGGGGCACAAGGGGCCCCTAATGATCAGTGGCCCTTGGAGCAAATTTTAAGAATAGGCCCCTCTAGACGCTCGGAAATGGCACTCTCGGACGGTAAAAATGCTTTTTCAAAGTGGTGTTTCTCGACAAAATTATTGACTTCCTCCCGACGGCCGTTATGCTCCCTCGTATGCTCCTCCCTTAGACATCCCTGGGGCGGATGCAGGATTTGGCGGTAGGGGTGCGTGAGGGTCCACCTCACTGCCCCCACCATGGTTGGGGCTGAGGGAATAGACAATTTTGAGAATAGGGACCTCTCAGGCGTTGATCCAGAGTTTTAGCCTGGTTTCCAAGAATCGCTCACCCTATCGCCGACAGTCGTGACAGTTGTGGTTCACAGACGAATCGTGGTAACTTTCCGATTGCGCAAGGCAGTTAGCAATGCACCCTGATTCGTCTGCGTTTGCAACGCATTCGGAAAAGTTGAACCAGGTTCAACCTTCCCGACAACTGTCGCCGATAGGGTGAGCGATTATATGGAAACCGAGCTTTACCCTGACTATCGCACATAATGGGTCCCTGAGTGGGCGGGGTCATGGGAAGAAAACGTAATGTTTGCTTGTTGAAGATTATTTAT